GATGCCACTACAAATTTATGGTCTCCCACATCAGTTGGGCTATTAACACTACACAGTAAAACTTCTAACTATCCCTAATCCACTTCCTCTCCCATTCACCACAATAATATTTTCAAACTTTCGCTAACCTGATTTCCTCCATCATTCTCAGCAAACGAACTCTGCTTTAGAGAGAAAATACAGATCATCTTGCAAGAACGTTCTCCACTTCCTTTCTCTCCCCACAACACAAACAAGTGTAAATATAGTCAGAGTCAGCCTTACCTCTTCCCTTTCTATTTTAGCTAAATTGTTGTCCTACATTTCAAATGTTAAATCTACCATCTGTTCTTTGAATCACATCTTCTCATTTCTTTGGGAACCTTACATTGCGTGTATCTCTTCTCTTCTGTATTTCAACTTCTCTTTTTCTTTCAGCATATCCTATTTTGTCGCTCTGTTTCCTTCTAGTGAACACCTTAGTTTTTCATTCACCTTAGAACCATGTTTCTCCAAAGAGCAGAATATACTTACCTCCATGACTCCATTTCCTTGGACTGTGTCAACCACCATATCTGTGTTTTTCTATCTCTACTACAGTAAATTCAATCTTGCAAATGTCTTTGTAATTACTAAAAACAACAAGCATGTTTCAGTCCTTACCTTACATGACCTTTCTTCTATTCATGATGTTGCTTGTCATCTTTATTGAAATTCTTTCCTCCTATGACTGTTAAGCCATCATCTACTCTTGATTTTCCTCTTCTTCTTTCTTTTTCTGGGGGGGCAGGGGAGCATGGGGGATGGAGTTTCCCTCTTGCTGCCCAAGCTGGAGTGCAATGGCATGATCTCAGCTCACTGCAGCCTCTGCCTTCTGGGTTCAAGCAATTCTCCTGCCTCAACCTCCCAAGTAGCTGAGACTACAGGTGCCTGCCACTATACCCAGCTAATTTTTTGTATTTTTAGTAGAGATGGGTTTTGCCATGTTGGCCAGGCTGGTCTTGAACTCCTAGCCTCAGGTGATCTGCCCACCTCAGCCTCCCAAAGCGCTGAGATTACAGGCATGAACCACTGTGTCAGGCCTCTTCTGTCTTTCATAAAGAAAATCTCATTCATTTATAGGATTTTAACTACCAGTAACCTTAATAGTCCAACATCTAACTTACTTCTTGACTTGAATGTCATATCACATTTCAAACATATTATATCCTAAATTGAACTCACCATCTCTTTCATACCTTGAAATTTGCTCATCTCCTGTTTTTCCTGTGTTGGCAAACAGTACTACTTCCCAGCCGTTTTCTCAAGCCAAAAATTGCATTCAATCTATTGACTGAGTCCTATTATGTTTTTCCCTCAATAATTCTTAAATCCACTCTTTTGTTATTATTATTCTATGATTACTGTTTCAAGTTTGGCTCTCTGTGTAGTTTTCTACAAAAGCCTCCTCCTTGAATCTGCTAAAAGCCACTGGAGCAATACTCATCATCCCACTGCTGCCAGGTATCCACCCAATCAAAAATTTTCCCCATTGTTTGCCATTACTTTAAACAAAATTATCCAGTACTTACCCTGTATAGTAACTTTTTATATGCCATTTACATTAATGCTAAAAATAATCCTTAAAGTAAAAATAAATGGGTCAGAATAATTTGATACCCAAGATTAAATAATGAATAGAAGTAGCAAAGCCAGAATTTGACCAAGAGACTTTCTGACTGGCAAAAGTGTGCTCATAATGGCTATTATATAACTGAGCCAAACACGGCCTCTGTATCTTGGTCTCTAGGTTGTTTATTTCATCACTGCAGGCTGAAACCCATTAAATCAAAAGTCCGCCAGCACCAAACTCAAATGTGTATATATCCAATTATTTTTGAATAGCCCAAACACCCAGATTTTTAACCAATTAGCGCCTTCTTACTTTGCACACCATTAGAAACTTCATCCTACATCTGCTGGTCATTAATAAGATAGAGGCTTGTGGTTATAAGACCCCAAAATGTTGTGGCAATTTTAAATAGAGTGGACAGAGAAGACTTTAGGGAGGTGCCACTTGAGTGAGTTTGAGATTTTGCTCTGAGGTAGATGGGGAGCCATTAGAGAATTTGAGCAGAGGAATTCTACGATTGGACTAATATTTAACCGAATCACTCTAGCCTCCAGGTTGAAAATCAACTTTAGGGGACAAAGAGCAAAGGAAGCAGTTGAATAAAGATGGTATTACAGAATAGAGTGGATGCAGTAGAACTGGTAATAGAAGGTCAGATTCTGGAACTATTTTGAAAATAAAGCTACCAGATTTGCTCATAGGTTATGAGTAGGATGTGAACAAAAGAGAAGGATGAGGGATGACTTCAATGTTTTTTGGTCTGAACAACTAAAAGGGTGGAGTGGCCATTAACTGTGATAGAAAGGCTTTTGGTGAGGTCTTAGCGTTTATTATTTCTGTTTAAGCTTAACCTTCCTCCTCAATGAACAGAAATTGTTAGTGTACATCAAAACTTCAAAAAAAAATATTGATTCCTGGAGAAAAGAGTAATCTGAACCCAGCAATCAAATTTTACTATGAAATATAGTGATGACAAGTTGGATGGATCAGTGTATTCTAGATACTCTGATATTCCATATGGTCTAAAGAATAGTAGAATTCAGACTGCATCCATAATAAATGAGTCCCAAACATGGACTGTTTAAGACTTGAAAAAGTACAATAAAAATAACAGAGTGGATTTTAAGGTTTATTTTTGAAAACTCTATTTTTCTTTAGTTTTTGTTTTATAACCTTCCTTTTCCTTTTCCTCCTCCTTCTTTTTCTATTACCTTCTGCTTATTCTTTTTTCTTCTTTCTAAAATGCATTTTTTTTTCTTAGTTGCTCTGTAGGCCATTAAATTTTTAAGACATCAGTTTTTTCCTGAAGTTAAAGTGTGATTTCTGGAGCATGTGTGGAGTAGAGCTCATCTAAATCCATCATGTTTTATTTCAATCAGCCTCTTCCTATTAGCATTGCAAAAAGACCCAAATCTACTATGAAGCCTAATTGGTAACAGAAGGGCACTGGTGCATCTCTCATTGTGCGTAGGTGGAGTAGGTGCTTGCCTCGTGATTTGCCTGAACGAAATACACACATTGCTTTAAAAATAGAAAGCCTCAGGATAAAGATAATCAAAAATTTATGTCAGCCTGAAAAACTGCATAAATTTTAAAGTCAGAAGACTTGAAAACTATGCTTTATAGCCTGCAAACTGAGTGATTTGGGGCAAGTCACATAACCTCTCTGAATCATAGCTCCCTCACTTCTAAGGCATCATTATGTAGTTTTTGCCTTCTTTTCTTCCTGTTTATTTTCCTTCCTTTCATCTTTACTTTCATTCTCTCTTCCTTTCCCTCCCTCCATCTCCTCTTCCCTCTCCTTTTCTTCTTTTCTTCCTCCCTTCCTTCCATTATACCTTATGCCACATAGTATTTGAGAGAGTTCAATAAGAATGTATCCAATAAAATAATAAGAACCTGAAAAGTAGATGTAGAAAGCCAAGAGTAGAAAGACATAGGCTTAAAAGCACCTATGGAGATTTCTAGGCAATTAAAAGTTGAAAATTTCAGCCTAGGTTATCATATTTTGGTTAGAATTATAGTATCCAGTCACCACTGTTAGCTGAATAGAAAGCAATGGTACCACATTATGGAAGTGTTTGCAGTCTCACTTCTTGGTCTATTCCATCCTTTGACCACATGAGAACACAGTTATACCACCTGTAATATGGTCTTCATAAAAGTCTCTCTACTCTCCTTTTTCTTTCATTCTTTTTGTATTTTTAGTAGAAAGATCTTGTTCTGTCTCCCAGGCTGCTGCAGTGTAGTGGCACAATCATAACTTACTGCAGCCTCAAATTCCTAGGCTCAAGCAATTCCTCCTGCCTCAGCCTCCTGAGCAGCTGAGACTACAGGCACATGCCACCTTGGCTAATATTTATATTTTGTTTAGAAGTGAGTGTCTCACTGTGTTACCCAGGCTTGTCTTAAACTTCTGGGCTCCAGTGATTCTCCCACCTTGGCCTTCCAAATTTATGGGATTACAGACATGAGTGACCGTGCCTGGCCTCCCTATTCTTCTATGTAACTTACTAGGTGGATAAACTTTAGCAAGTTGTTTAACCTTCCTAAACTCAAATATAAGTCTTATATTATAATAATAATAAATAATATAGTGTATGTGAAAGTGTTCATATTCATTTTCTATTGCTACTTAACAATACTACCACAAACTTAGAGGCTAAATCATCTCTGTGGGTCAGCAGTCTGGTCACGGCTTAGGTGGATCCTCTGTTCAGGGTCTCACAAACCTGCAATCCAGGTGTTGGCCATACTGTCGTTCTTCTTCAAAGCTCAGTGTTCTCTTTCAAGATCATTCAGGTGACGGGAAGAATTTGGTCCCTTGCAGTTGTAAAACTGGGGCCCCAATTTTCTTTCCGACTATTGGCTGGTGACCATTCTGAGTTTCTAGAGACCACCCGCAGTTCTTTATCATGTGCTTTCCACCGACAGTGCACAATCTAGCTCTTTGCTTTCTTCCAGGCCAGCAGGAATGTATCTGCTGATACTTCTTATTTAAGAGCTTATCTAATCAGGTCAAGCTCATTGAGGATAACTTCCATTTTGAGATTAACAAATTAGTAATCTTTTTTTTTTTTTTTTTTTTTTTTTTTTTTTTTTTTTTTTTGAGACGGAGTCTCGCTCTGTCACCCAGGCTGGAGTGCAGTGGCGCGATCTCGGCTCACTGCAAGCTCCGCCTCCCGGGTTCACGCCATTCTCCTGCCTCAGCCTCCCGAGTAGCTGGGACTACAGGCGCCCACAACCGCGCCCGGCTAATTTTTTGTATTTTTAGTAGAGACGGGGTTTCACCGTGGTCTCGATCTCCTGACCTTGTGATCCGCCCGCCTCGGCCTCCCAAAGTGCTGGGATTACAGGCGTGAGCCACCGCGCCCGGCCTGATTAACAAATTAGTAATCTAATCATGCAAGTGATATCATATTCACAGTTTTACCCACACTCAATGGTTGGGAGTAATACAAAGAAATAGATCATTGAGAGTCATCGTAGAATTCTGCTCATTATATGTAGCATACCATGCCACCCACGCTCTATAAATAGAACAATTAAAACAAGATTTTATAAGAAGTGCTACTTTGTGTAATCTTTTTTTGAACATCAGAATCTTAACTATAATAATCAATTCAGTCTAGGAACCATTATGAAATAGTATTACCTCAAGGATTTCTCAAATTCTCGATTTTTTTTTCCTAAATTCATTCATATCCTTCTCATTCACTTAACAAATATGTGTTGGCTCTCTACTCTGTGCCAGGCACAGTGGTAGACACTGATGATAAGATAGTCATGGTCTCAGCCTTTGCAGAGCATATAATTCAGTAGGAAGAATAAGATGACTAAAAAAAAAACCCCAAACAACTAAAGAAACAAATAGGCACAATATTTGCTAACTGTGCTAAGAGCTTTCAGTCATTGTAGGGCTTTCTAGTCACTGAAGACCCTTAAATTATTCTCTGAGTCTTCTTGCTATTGGATGTGACTTCAGCTGGAATTTTTTCCAACCAGAATATTTTATCACTTATGGTTAGTTTGGCTATAAACAAAGTAACAGTGACTTAAACTAGAATGAAGTTTATTTCAGTCTCATGTTTTTTGTAAAAAAAAAAAAAAAAAAAAAAAAACCTAACGATATGCACTACAGGGCCTGTATGGGACTGAGCTATGCTTCAGGACTGAGCTGGGGTAGAGGAATAGGATAATGAGGTCATAGAGGTCACAGTGGAGCCAGCTTATGTCAGGCTCTCCCTTTGAGGACAATGGGCTACCATTGGAGGGTTTTGAGTAGAGCCATGGCATGCCCTGATGTAGATTTCAAAAGGCTACCATGTAACTGAGGCAAGAGACATTGCAGCTAAGACTAAAATGGTGGCTGCAGTATCAGTGAGAAGTGGTTAGACTGAGATTTGTTTTGAAGGGTAGGGACAACAAGATTTCCTGACAGAGTGAATGTGGAAATGTGACTCTAAGGTGTTTGGTCTAACTAGCCAGAAAATGGGAGTAGTCATCCACTAAGATGGAGAAAACTATGAGTACAGAGAGATTTGGGGCAAGAATCAGGAGTTCAGTTTGAGACATTTTAGACATTCAAGTGGAGATGTTGATGGCATTCAGATATTAAATTCCATCCATTGAGAGAGGTCTGGGCTAGAGATATATATTTAGGAGTTGAGAGTATGCATACGGCATTTTAATTGATGAGGCAAAGAAGAGTAGACCCAGCTACATCAACCTTAGCTCATGACTTCCACCTCATGACCTAAGAAAACTGGTCAAGTTCCATCTGGACTGCATTACAGCCAGCTGAAAAAGCAAGGAAGCAAAAGGCGTATGTCAGATGACCATTACAGAGGGTTTTGTGAAACTATAAACAAAAATCCAAAAACTTATGCTTATGTCTTGTTGACCAGAACTTAGTCACATGGCCATACCTAGCCACAAGGAAGATTAGAAAAGAAAGCCTTATTTCCAGGGAACCAAATGTCCAGCTAAAATCCACGGTTTTAATTACAAGAAAGAAAATTAGAATGCAAACTATGGCAAACCACTAGCAGTCCCTGCCGTGCAATAAAAACCCCGAGGTAGATTTTAGTGGAGTAAGAAAAGTCCACAACTTTTGGCAAGTTTTATAAATAGGTCACTCATTCTAACCCAATCTGAAGGCCCAGTCTCATCAACTAGAATTCCCAATATAAAGTTTGCAGCTGAAGCCCCAGTTAGAAATGGTGTAGCAATGTATTCATGGGATAAAATAAAACAAATGTAAGTCTTGGTATCTGACATATGTGACAGAAACCCACCTTGAACTAGCTTAAGAAAAAAGGAAGATTTTTTTTTTTTTGCGAAGATATTTGTCTCATTTTCAGAACTTAGAAAATTACCAAACAACCAAAACTCTGGGAGAACAAGTATTGAACTAGCCTCAGGGATAAAACAGATATTGAAGGCATCTTCTAAATATGGTAATATTCTTGGGACGTTCCCCCTACCTCTCATCATTTCTATTACTTTGGGGAACTGGATGGTGACAGCTTTATTTTCCTAAATTTTGCAATACAGTAAATATGTGGAATGCCTCCTAACTAACTAATCAAGGGGAACATCCCAAGGTTCTTGATTAGAGAAGAAATAGAAAGAGATTCACTTCCTGGAAAGAAATTCTGGTTTGCTCAGTTTGGGGAATATTCCCATCCACGGGCAAATGACTGTCAGCTCCCATCCGAACCAGGTGGATGAAAATACAAATGAATGAGAGCTGCACATGAAGAAGGGGGAAAGCTACTGAACAAATAAATTCATCAGAGCTCTTCTAAATCTGGAGCTGACATACTAACACTTTGGAAGTCCTGAACAACAGTTCCAACAGCAGGAAAAGAGGCAAAAAGAAAATCTATGTTCCTGTACCATTATAGAATTTCAATGTTTAGTCAGGAATAATTTGAGGGTAAAATCCATTTAAGGGACTTCTTTTGTGGGAACAGAGGACATTCTTGATTAAAAGGAGGGGTTCATTTTGTTCGGTTTTAGAGAAAAAATATCAACTTTATGTACTTTATATCTCTGGCCTTATGTAACTGAGCTAAGCTGTGTCTGGTGCATGTTGTATAACCCTGGCTAGTTTTCCGCCCAGCTGCATAAGAACAGCCAAAGAAGCTCCCCTGAGGTCCCCTCATAGCCAACCCAAAAAACACAGAGGATGGGAATCCAACCAGCTCTGCCCTACTCTTTGAGCCAAATACTATCTTAGCCTTCAGTGCTTTCCTCCACTGCTTGTTGTTAGAGGTGTGCTTTCGTTGACTCGATGAGTGTTGACATTGAGAATTCAGATTTAAACTTTGGAGTAGAAGCAAAGAAAGCAAGTAGGTCTTCCACTCAACTTTTATCCTAGACTACATAGGTCCAATCAACCAAGCCAAAAGAATCAGTGAATGGTTAATCTAAGCTCATCCCACCCAAGATCTCCATGCGAGTGTGGAGCCAACCCCAGATAGTAATAAAATATTATTTTATTTGGTTTTGTTTTCTCTATATATATTTTTTCCTGGATTCGTGGGTATTGTACCGTTAAGAATCAAATTAAGGTGATTGAGATGCCCTATCCTGACTAGTCATAGCCGTATCTCTTTCCATAAAATCTCTTGCAGTTTACATGTATATATGTATACATAATCAGACATTCATCTATTTTGTCATAACTAAATACAAACATATACATATGGAAGTTGATGAACTCATATAGCAGGGCTCTAAAATAGACTTTTAGCTATATTTTACTAAGGAGCTTATGAGACCTCCTTAGCCAGTTTGAATGAAGATAGCTGGTATCTGTACTGCTCCTGTCTGGAATCCTCTTATATTCACATTTATTGCCCTGATAGTTTTTATCAGGCCACCTACCCTGGGATTTGTGTCTTTCTTATTTAAAAGCCCTCATTACTATTTTCAGACTGGCTTTCATTTTTGTATCTACAAATGCTTAAATTTCACTAATCATCTGATTTCTACAGAGAGTTGACTCTTCTAATTTGTGCCACAAAATAATTTCAGCCTGCCTTATTTCTTAACCTTGAAATGTTCGTGTGTGCTTGTGTGTGCATGATCTCTCTCTCTCTCTCTCTCTCTCTCTCTCTCTCTCTCTCTCTCTCTCTTTTACTCTCTCCCGCCTCCCTTTCCCTGTTTATCTGTTTCTTTCTAAGATGGATGGATGGGTGGAAGAAAGGAAAGAAGGGAAGGAAGCAGGGAGGAAGAGAAGAAACTTCTCAAGAGAGCATTGGTATTATGTTGCACAAATTTGGGCAAGAGCAGTTGTCTCTGGAGGGGTAATAACAACTTTTACATTGACTAAAGTATGAATATCATGTATGACACATCCTATGCCAACACTGACTACAGCAGTTGAGTGTGTATCTATTTAACCATTTTACACATAGCACCATAGAGTTTATGGTGAACGTAGTTAAAACTCCGTATTAGTTTTCTTCTTTTTTGGTAGAGAAGAAGCACAGAGGTGAGGCAAACATTTACAAGACACCCAGAGGGGGCAAAAAGAGACTCAAACAAAAGAGAGACCGTGGCTGCCAAATACAAGCTTCCCTACTTCTGTGCCTCATGCCTTGCCCTCAGTTGGCCTTTTCTGTGCTTTAGACACCCTTCAGGGAAAGGCTTTGCAGGGCTTAGGAGAGGACTTAAGGGTCCATTTGGCACCTATGAAATCAGGGAATCCGTAAGAAATTGTCTCTCTCTTGATTTTTTTCAGGATGGCCTGGGTCACCTCGAATAGCCCAATAGTATCAGAAGTCAACTCTTCACACCTAATTTAGAAGCCATGCTGACCTGAAAAGGTTAATTAAACTGTGATTGTATTCACTTTGAAATGACTCTTATTCTCTTATGTCATTGGTACTTGTGCTAACTTGCAAATACAATCACAGAAAAACTGAGTTTGAATTAAGGCACAAATATGTTACTAATCTAAAAAGAAAGAGAAATTAAGTTCTAGCTAGTTAGATATAACCATGTTGTGACACAAAAGGTAGCCACCAGATAGGGAGGATGCCACCTGCTAGATGTTAAAGTACCAACACTTGTGAGTGACTTGTTTTTAGAAAGTAAACTTGAACAGATTCAAATTTTATTCTTAAATTGTTATTACTCCCATTCTTGCATTTTGACATATGTAGAGCCAGGAGAGTCTCAGCGTTCTGTCTAGATCTCTTTGGATTGACCTTACCATTCCTGAGCAGCCCTCCTCCAGTTTCTGGCCTATACCTCAGACTCTTACAAAAACTGCCTGAAGACAGCTGAAGCTATTTTGACTACAGGCTAAGAGCAAAGGAGCTGAAAGTTCCTGGGAGCTTATGTACCTCCCACATCCCCAGTCCTTGGATGATTACTTACTGATGCAAAAATATGAAAGCTTGGTCTTCTTCCTTCTTCAATCAGGAAAATGCTGTGGTGAATTTTACATTTCAGAGAATTTAATGTTTCCACAAAATCAGGTTGAGGCTCTTACCTGACTTCTCCTGTATTATTGTCCTGCTGACACTATTTCCTTCCTGGAATCTCCTGCAAGTACTTTCTTTACAAATCACTTGTACACACACACATTCTTGTCTCAGGGTTGATATGTTGCTGAGAAAATTTACCTAAGGCAATATATTGTCTTGAATAGAAGAGAAATGAGAAACTTAGAGATGTTCTGTCAGAAATTGCACAAGACCCTGATATGGTTTGGCTGTGTCCAAACCATATCATCTTGAACTGTAGTTCTCATAATCCCCACGTGTCATGGGAAGGACTTGGTGGGAGGTAATTGAATCATGGGAGTGGTTACTTCCATGCTGTTCTCACGATAGCGAGTTCTTACAAGATCTGATGGTTTTATAAGGGGCTTTCCCCCCTTTTGATCGATACTTCCCCTTCTTGCCATCACATGAAGAAGAACATGTTTAGTTCCCCTTCTGCCATGATGGTAACTTTGCTGAGACCTCCCCAGCCATCATGATCTGTGAGTCAATTAAACCCCTTTCCTTTATAAATTACCCAGACTCCAGCATGCCTTTATTAGCCACATAAGAACAGACTACTATACCTCCCAATTTCACTCAGAATTGTCCCTCCTAAGAATGTCATCTGTCAGGTGTGCCACTCCAGAAAAAAAAGGATTGAAATTCTTCCCTATACTAAGCCTAGATGAGGAATCTTTTCATATATTGCACTTCAGGAGTGAAAAATTTTAAAGTCAATGTCTATACAAGTTTAAAGATTATTATATAAACTGTGGAATTTTTTTTTTTTTTTTAGACAGAGTTTTGTTCTTGTTGCCCAGGCTGGAGTACAATATGAAGGTATAATAGTCTTCACCTTATAGAATTGTTGTGTGGATAAATTAATAAATATCTAGATAAATACATGTGTGTATATATGTACATGTATGTCTATGTACACACATATATATGTGTGTATTAGAATGATAGCCCTAAGCGTTAAATATCATTTATAAGTTCTAATTCCAGGCTGGAGTGCAACGGCATGATCTCGGCTCACTGCAACCTCCACCTCCTAGATTCCAGAAATTCTCCTGCCTCAGCCTCCTGAGTAGCTAGGATTACAGGCATGCAACACCATGCCCAGCTAATTTAGCATTTTTAGTAGTGACAGGGTTTCTCCATGTTGGTCAGGCTGGTCTTGAACTCCCGACCTCAGGTGATCTGCCCACCTCGGTTTCCCAATGTGCTGGGATTACAGGCATGAGCCACTGTGCCCAGCCTAAATTGAGGAATTTTTTAAGAGAGAGAAGTGTATTACAATCTACTCATTTTTTAAAATTAATAATGGGAGTGTTGAATTCTACTGATTTACTCAGAAAATAACATTTTCATGTCAGTTACTTTCCAGAGAAATGTGAGAAGTAGAAGAGAAAAAGACAAGGAATAGAGACAAGGAAACACAGTGAGAATCAGAACTTATAAATGATATTTAACGCTTAGGGCTATCATTCTAATACACACATATATATGTGTGTACATAGACATACATGTACATATATACACACATGTATTTATCTAGATATTAATTTATCCACACAACAATTCTATAAGGTGAAGACTATTATACCTTCATATTTCTGATGAGAAAACCCCAACAACACTAAGATATGAAAAAGTTTGCTCGAAGTCATCCCACAGTAAATGGCAGAGCTGAAGTCTGGTCCCAGGCAATTGGGCTCCAGTATCTGTGTTCTAATTCACTACCTGTCCTGGGAGAAAGTGAGAGAAATTATTAGAAAGAGACAGTGAAGAGGAAAGAAAAGGGAAATAGAAAGTTAACTAAATAGGCAAAACTGACTCATATAAACATAAAGATCAGGCAGAAAGGAATCAACGAGATAAACAGACACATCCCACAGAGGCAATGGGAAACTGATATAAAGAGAGTCTCATTGTAACATAATTACAGACAGAGATCCATATGCAAAAAAGGACATGCATATTTTATAAAAATAGACCAACATGCAAAGCAAGGCAGAATATTCATATATATATATGGCATACTCAGCTGGGCAATTGTTTTGCTCCACAGGGTGCTGACTCACTAGTTTTCACCTGGAAGCTGGGCTGGGCTCAAGGATCCAAGGTGCTTTTACTTCCATGCATTATGTCTTGCTGTGGTCAATTGGAAGACTGGGCTCAGCTAGATTCTTCTGTCTCTCTCCACATATTCTCAATACTCTCCATGTGGTCTCTCCAGCAGTGTGATCTGACTTCTTATTCTGTCCCTGGGGGCTTTAGGAGACTGAAGTAGAAGCTGCCAACCTCATAGAAATAAGGTCTAGAACTGTCATAATCCCTGTCACTGCACTCCATTAGTGGAAACAGATTAATGGCAGTCCAGATTCAAGGAGATGGCAAATAGGCCCCACCTCCCTATAGGAAGAATGTCAAAGAATTTGTGGCTGTAGTTCATCTGCCACACGATTTAACCAGAAACAGGCTAATAATGCACAGATGTGTGAGAAACTAGAGAGGGATCACGCTTTGGACACTTTCCAGAAGGAAGTGTCACGGAAAGCTAGAGTTTAAGAGCAGAAAATGTCTCTGATACTACTGGCAAAACTGAAGATTGGATAATTGTGGAAAAGGAAAGAAATGAGATGACAGATTTGGGGTTGTAGACATGCACATTTGTTTAGATCTAACGAAACATGCTGTACTACTTGGCCCAAAACGTTTTCTTCATGTCCTAGATGACATGTTTCCATTGTGTGTATTGTCTTGACTGCCTACATGATTTTCCCATTCTGCTTCTGCAACCATGTTTTTAAGATTGTAAATTCTGCTATTTTTTATTGTCCTTTATGTTTCTGAAATGTCTCCCATCTGTAAATATATCTGGATACATATGATCCATTAATAGTACATAGTCTCAATCAGGAGGCTCCTGTTCTATCTGATAATTCAGAGACATACAAAAAGGTAGCAATGGATACAAGCCTCGTGTAGTAGGTCTAACCATTAAACAATCATATCATCAGTAATTCCCCTTCCCAGGCCAAAACAGAATAGTTCAAAGCAAAATAGGTGGTATGGGTAAAGCATTCACTGTGTGGTCAAGCAGAAATCTGCCATACCATTTGCAAGGTGCATAACTTGTTTAAGTCATACTTAATATGAAGTTAGTACTACTTCTTTTCTAGGGTTGTTAGGATCATCTGAGAAAAGGTATAACATGTAGATAGCACATAAGAGCTATTCAATAAATCATAATAATTATTATGAATATTATTTCAACTATAATATAATGCAAGTAGGGAACTATAATAAAATACAAAATCCCATATATACAGCACATGAATCTGGTTAAATATCTGTGTTCCAGAACTTTAATTTCTAAAACAAATAATAATATAATATCCATACGTTACTCATATGGTTATATATTGTCATTAAATATGAAGATACATGTTACATTATGGTTTTTACCAAAATTTAGTTTTAGAAGTAGTGTTTGCTCTCTTGTGGATTTGATTTGACCAGTGTTTGACTTGAAAATTTTCTGTTTGCTTACATATTTTTCATGTACGTGAACATTAGAAGATATTATTGTTAATAGAAATAGAATGAATTTAAAGATGAATAGAATTTAAAAGTTAATAGAATAGATTGAAAAGTAAAATACTTTATGGTTCCAATGACAGTTTTTGTGACTAAGCATATTCTTTAGATAACAATTATTTTTAAATGATTCTCCACAACATAAAACTAATATTACTTAAAAATGCAAGTAGTACTACAAAAGAAAGTTTCCAATAAGTTGGTTGTCTTCTAAAACAGAAGAATACTTAAAAATGACCTTTATATCTCTTTTTTTATATTCCCTTAGTCTGGCATTTTCTCTTTGCTATATCTCCAGAATTTGGTTGCTAGTTCTGTTTTTCTTCTCTCTCTCTGCAGGTATCCTCAAAACTCTCCGTGTAGACCACGCAAGTATAATTAATCTCTCCCTCAGAATTCTTTGTTTTTAAGGGGAGTATGTTGTGTTTTTTTCTGTAAGAATTTTTTATTTTTTATTTTTATTTATTTATTTATTTTTAAGACGGAAATAAAGCTTGGTCACCCAGGCTGGAGTGCAGTGGCGTGATCTCGGCTCACTGCAACTTACACCTCCCAGGTTCAAGCAATTCTCCTGCCTCGGCTTCCCAAGTCACTGGGATTACAGGCACCTGCCACCACATCCAGCTAATTTTTGTATTTTCAATAGAGATGGGTTTCACCATGTTGGTCAGGCAGGTCTCAAACTCCTGACCTCAAATGATCCTCCCGCCTCAGCCTCCCAAAGGCACCTAGTCTTCTTTAAGAACTATTTTGGCATTTTAATTTGGTGCTTTATTTAAGAGTCGTTTGTGTTTATGTTTGTCTCCCATACTTGATTATGAACTCATGAAAAGAAGAAAACTAACCGCATGTCCCCAAAATACAAACCAGAAAGCTTTATACATAAAAGATATTCAATAAAAAAGGTTAAATTTACTAATGCACACACATAAACCAATCATGTACTTCATTACCCAACCAGACACTGGTAATAATACAAAACAATAGGGTTGGCAAGATGGCCAAACAGGAACAGGTCTGGTCTGCAGCTCCCAGCGAGATCAATGCAGAAGGCAGGTGATTTCTGCATTTCCAACTGAGGTACCTGGCTCCTCTCACTGGGACTGGTTAGACAGTGGGTGCAGCCCAGGGAGGGCAAGCCGAAGAAGGGTGCGGCATCACCTGACCCAGGAAGTGCAAGGGGTAGGGGAACTCCTTCCCCTAGCCAAGGGAAACAATGAGGCACTGCGCCATGAGGAATGGTGCACCCCAACCCAGATACTCCACTTTTCCTTGCAACCTGCAGACCAGGAGATTCCCTCAGGAGCCTACGCCACCAGGGCCCTGGGTTTCAAGCACAAAACTGGGCAGCCATTTGGGAAGACACTGAGCTAACTGCAGAATTTTATTTTCCATACCCCACTGATGCCTGGAATGCCAGCGAGATAGAACCATTCACTCCCCTGGAAAGAGGGGCTAAAGCCAGGGAGCCAAGTGGTCTAGCTCAGCTGATCCAACCCCTACAGAGCCCAGCAAGCTAAGATCCACTGGCTTGAAATTCTTGCTGCCA